GTATAGTTTTATGTACTGTAGTCTTCTGAGTATCTGTATATCCCATATTGTACCGAGTTTAACCAGATTTTATGGTATAGTTTTATGTACTGTAGTCTTCTGAGTATCTGTATATCCCATATTGTACCGAGTTTAACCAGATTTTATGGTGCAGTTTTGTGTACTGTAGTTTTCTGAGTAGCTGTATATGTCATACTATACCGACTTGAACCAGATTGTATGGTATATGGCGAACTCTAATCCCTTACTATGTAATAGTTTTGATATTACGTCACAGTAAGTTTGATAAGAACTTGAGTCTTGTCTTTCTTTACTGGCACAATACGGGTTTCCAGTAAGAATAATGTAGAACAACACTTTTACAATACTTTGTTTACTACAAGCCACTGCCGAGGAGGATATTACTATTACATTCACAGTCCATCAGGTCAGTTAGGTTACATCACATAAAGTGTTATTTGAAAGGCTATTTATATCATTTATGCTACTTTCATTGTAATGGTCTATAACGTCAGAAGTGGTGAGGCTTGATCCATTAATGGGTAATAGGTAATATTTAATTTTTGTAGTTACGGTTTGTGTTTTAGTGGAACGCTCTGAAGAAGCTGTAAAGCGAAACGTTGAGTGTCCAATTAAAGAACATTAATACATTTGGTGTTATCAGGTCGTTTATTTCTAGTATTAAAGTAGTTAATATTGTATCACAACAATACTTATAATAATTCTAATCACATTATTCTTTACCGTTTCAGTATTGGTGTACAGTAAGAAGAGTGTATGATTGTAATTCAGTTACAGTTTTCTTTTGATTGCCGCTGGTAACAAAACTCATCAAGACTATACACGTTCTTACTGTTTACCTACATTGATTCCATACAGATGTGACAGTTCTGTGAAACTTTCTTACTGTTTATCTACATAGATCCGAATCAGATGAGGTAGTGCAGTAAAACACTGTAACTGTTTATTTCGTAAAGCCGAGTCAGATGAGGTAGTACAATAAAACTTTCTGACTGTTTATCTACATAGATCCGAAACAGATGAGATAGTACAGTGAACTTTATTCAAATATATTCAATTTGTGTTTTCATTTCACTCAATTATCTGGTGTTATGTATTTCAAACTTTTTAGAAATATCTTTATTTGATGATCTTCCATTATCTTGTGTTTGAATTTCAGTCACTTACTTTAGTTGTTTGTTGTTGTTGTTTTTTTGTTGGGGGGGGGGGAGATTTTAGTAAATGGTATGCGAACATTTATATTTCAGTACCAGGACCTATTCCATGAATGTCGAGAAGAACACTCGGCCCTAAGCGACGAAGAATTGTGTAAAAAGTGGGAAGAGGTAGGAATTTCTCAACTTCATTATTTTATTCTAAATTTCTTTCACCTTTTGTACATTTTCTGATTTCAAAACTGTTTTCATTTTAAACCTATAACTATAGTTTCTCACAAAATCATAATTATAATTAAATTCTTTTTAGGTTGGTATGAAAAATATCCAATTTTATTTATCCGATAACTTTTATACTTGTGTTTAGTAAGATGAGTAGGAGAGTGCTTCAAACCCTTCCTATACGTGATCGATATGTAAACTGTACACGATAGTAAGCAAACATAGAAGAATTTAAGATTAATCAAGATTTAATTATACTGCCATGTTCTTTCTTCAAAACTGTTATTTTTTAATCTGACGCTTTTCCTTAAGTGTTACAGTAATAAAAATGTAAAGGTAAAGGTAAGCTTATGGGACAACAAGGGAGCTATTGGTCCATCAAGGCCACTCTATCCCCTAAACTAAACCAAACTTAGAAAAACCTGAAAGCCAGTCCTTGTCATGCAAATATTTATCAAGACTTCCCTTTAACTCTCTTAAATTTACTGCACCCACCACATCTGACGGTATCCTATTCCAAAGGCTAAGCACCCTGTTATAAAAATAAAACTGTCTTAGCTAAAGATGACTTCTACCCTGCCAATATTTATATTTGTGTCCCCTAATCCCATCAGTCTCACCGTTAAGTACGAAAAATGATTATGCGTTGACACTATCAATTCCTTTAATAATCTTAAATGCCCCAGTGAGATCACCTCTAATTCTTCTCTTTCAAAAGAAAACAATTTCAGATATCTTAACCTCTCCTTATATGACAACCCCTCCATTTCGGGTACCATTCTAGCAGCCCTTCTCTGAAACCTTTCCAACAATTCAATGTTCTTCCTAATGTGGCCTAATCAATGACCTTTACGATGAAACTGTAAACCCTTTAGACTTGTATTCAAAATTTCTGGAGATACATCATAAAATCCTACTTGTCTTACCATTAGCAACAGCACACTACTTGGATGGCTAAAGAAACTGATGAACAAGAACACCAAAATTCTTTTGTTCCGTAAAATTGTTAAGGTTATTTCCATCAGAACTGTGAGAATCCATATGCATTACCTTCCGTTTATTATAATTGAAAGCCATCTTCCATTTATTCTCAGCTCAATTCACAGCTAGCAACACCCAAGAACTAAATATCATTAGCAACTTTAAATAATGTATTGACTTTTCACTCGTCTATATCATTGATGTAAACCAAGTAAAGCAAGTGAGCCTTGAGGCACTCCAATTCTTGCGTTAATTCAATAAGAACTTGACTAGAACAACACCAGATTTATCTGTATTGCAAATTACCCAGTCAGTTTTATCCCGAATAATAGGAATGGGGCGAAAGACTGAGTAAACGTTAGTATTCTTAAGTGTCTGCACGTATATGTCGTCATACGTAAAGTGATCGTCAGTTAGATTACGTTTGATTAGGCTAAACCAAAGTATATTATTAGTTCAAACTATTTTTAGCTAGACGAAGTTAAATGTGTTTTAAGATAAGGAAGATTATTCAGATCATACTGAAAATAAAGATAACAACACATTATCAATGAAATATTTATTATGCTTATTTTACAAAAATTCTGTTTTTATTTTACATTTAGGTAATGACGTGCTCACATGAAGGCCATGTAAGTATTATTATTATAAAATACTGAGAAAGTATGATTTTATCTATAAGAATATGTATAATAATATCGTATCTTGCACGTACTTGGGTATTTTATGTATTATTGTTGTATGTATCAATGAATTACACTGTGATTAAATAATGATATTTTTAATGTTTTACGTTTCTTTACATACACGGCCCGGCATGGCCAGGTGGTTAGGGCGCTCGACTCACAATCTGCGGGTTCGAATCCCCGTCACACCAAACATGCTCGCCCTTTCAGCCGTAGGGGCGTTATAATGTGACGGTCAATCACACTATTCGTTGGTAAAAGAGTAGCCCAAGAGTTGGCGGTGGGTGGTGATGACTAGCTGCCTTCCCTCTAGTCTTACACTGCTCAATTAGGGACGGCTAGCGTGTAGCTTTGCGCGAAATTCATAACAAACCAATCTCACATACATACAAATCATTTAGAGTACTTGATTTTCTCCATAATAATTAACATACCAGAGTTTTGATGTTATAGCAAATCAAATATTGACCAGAAGACCTTGTTATAACAATGTAACACAAGAAACGTTGTTTCAGTAATTTTAGCTAAATTGTTCTTCAAACAATTTATTTCTGTGGTATTGCAGTTATGTTGATTTCCATTATTAAACAAAGCTGCTATACGCCGAAGGCTGTGTTTATTATCTAAATGTAGTTTTCTCAATAATATTGTTTTGTTTATATATTTTCCTCCACACACAGACGAGTAACTTTTC